TTTTTAAAAAATATTCTGCCAAAATCCGTAGACATTGAAGTTCGGAAACATGCCAAACGTCCAGATGATTATCTACTATCGCAATTTCTAAGTTTTCCTAGTATCCAGTTGGGATACTGAGCTTATGATACCCAGTATCCAAAATTAAAATCTGATATCCTGTGGATATCGGGATACTGCAAGTTTCGAGCCCTGTTATAGTTTCAGCCATTTCTTTATAGTAAACACTTTCTTTTCCTGTTCTTTTCACTTTACTTTTCTTTTCTTCCCCTACCAGATCCATCCCCCACGGTGTTAGTTTTGTTTAGGTTTTAAACATATTACTTAATAAAGTATTGTATTCTATCATGATAGGCAGTCACTGAAGCAAGCTATGTCAACATTCCTGTCATTGCATTCTGCAATACTGATTCTCCCTTGAGACATATTGATGTGGCTATCCCATGCAACAACAAGGGTGCGCTCTCAATTGGTCTGATGTGGTGGATGTTGGCCCGCGAAGTTCTGCGCATGAGAGGAACTATCAGCCGTGATATACCCTGGGACGTCATGGTTGATCTTTACTTCTACCGTGACCCAGCTGAGGTACTTAGTAGATATATTTTAACCCATTAACCTGTTAAGTTGCATTGTGCCTCAATGTGCCATACTTTATTATGTTACTCCATCTAACACAAGATTATTTTACTCTGTCTAATGCCAGATGATTTTACTTGTCAAGAGGAGAGCACTGGAGCTCATTGGATTAATTTGCCCATATGTTTGGTCAACCCATTAAGTTGCACTGTGCCCAACTACTTTATTACAGTATCTTACTCTTACAGTATCCTGATATCCAAAGGACACTAAAATTTAGTTTTGGATACAAAACTGTGAATGACTTATATCCCAACTGGATACTAAGAAAATTTGTGTTACTCTGTCTCAAACCAGACTTGTCTGTCTTTGCCTCTTTTTAAAATATTGAGTTAATATTTTAAACTACTCATTGCCATACTATTATAGTCATCAAGGGAAAACCAGACTATCTTCCTAAGTCCCCTGTTAAACCATTAAGCTGCAATGATTTTTACTTTGACCCACTTTACTCTGTCAGAGATTTTACTTGTGTGTGTTTGATGTCCACAGGCAGAGAAAGAGGAAACAACACCTGCTATTGAAGAAACTCCATTCCAAGCTCCGGCCACAGTAACATCGACTGATTGGGGAGCGGCACCCAGTGTGCAACCCGAGACTGCGCCTACCGACGCAACTGATTGGGCAACCTTGTCTGATACACCCAAGGATGTAAGTATCGCGCCAGAAAAATGTTGTCAATAAGACCAAAAAAAATATGTGGGTTTCCAGTTTCCTCTTGTAAAAACTTAGGTAAGGTAGGTCGGTTTTAACCTTTTTTTTTAACTTTTTTTTAATTTTCCTAACAACCAGACGCCATTTTGTTTAGTCAGTGCTTCCATTTGCAAACATAAATTTCCCTAATATTGCCTCAAATTTTCATTTTCCACAAACGTTTTCCTCTAAGTGGAAACACTTACAAGCGTGATCCAATAAAAAAGTTTAGGGTCGGGATTTTGGCGTCCAAAAGCTAGCTAGGGTCGGGAAACCGGAAACCCACATATTTTTTTTGGCCTAAGAAACATTGCTTGGACAATGGCTAATAATGGTCGGCCAGGCTTTTCAATATTTACAATGATAGCTCTATAAAAACAACCGTTATTCTTATCCCTAAATTTCACGACATCATTGCGGGGTTGGTGGGGATAGAACTATATGGAAAGTCGCCCATAACTGAACTTACGTTCTTTTCTTGCAGTGGTCTGCTGAAACAACTACTGGTACCACTACTGCAACTACAGGCTTCGGCGCACCAACCTCGACAGACTGGGGTGCGGAGGCTAGTGACTGGGCAGCCGCTAGTAGTACAACTACACCTGCAGATACTTCCACTGACTGGGGTGCTACAGCTGGCGGAGAGAGCTGGTCTTGAACTACCACTTGTAACTGAACATTAAAGGAAAGCATTGAAGGAAATTGCATAAAAAATAATAGTGTGTCTGACTGTCTGTTTTCTCGCTGATGCCCCCATACGCATACGGGAGGAAAAAAGTTGGGGGGTAAAATTTTCGTGAAATTGCCCTCCCCCCCCAAAAAAAAAATGTTTTCCTGTTGTATGTTTTTCAAAACTTGCTGTTGACGGGCGAGGTTTCAAACATACATTAACATATTTCTACCTTTCCGCATTTTTATGCGCGCTGCCCTTCCCTTTAATCATTTTTAAATACAATCTGGCCGACTTTCTGGTACAAACTGCCCGAATTCATATTTAGAGATGGGAAATTCATCTACGAAAACCCCTCTGAATACAGATTTGTGATGGAAATCCGTCCAAACTTTTATGTAGGTTTTATATATAATTTTATATGTCTATCTCGATAATTTTGATCCCAGTTTTCCCTTGCTTGGCAACTTTATCCGTCACATGTATCCGTCTATGCGAATTTAGGACGAGTTTCTCTATACCTGTTTAAGTTTAGACTGAATTCCTAATTCCTCCCTTGCCGGATATAATTATAGAGTTGCCGGATATAATTACGAGTTTCTCGTCTAAGACGACTTTAATAATAAACGAGTTTGGTTTCCTGTTTTAATTGGAATGTTCCATTGTCTTTCATTGTTTTGGAAACCCAAGTGTTCTCCTTGCCTGCAACGGCCTATTACTAAAATCTCTAGTCTTTTGAACGTTTATTGAGTAACATTTTGTTGCGTCTAGTGGCCCGTTTACACTTGTTCACATTCATCAGAAGAGGAAAATCGCACTAGAAATTGTAGGGATTATTAAAGAAATTTTATCACTGCACAAAAACACCCATAAAACAGCAGCATGTCACATACAGTAAGACCCCGCGTATAAGAAGCTAGATTTTTCAAGTTAGCCTAAACAGGTTCTCAGTGCATTTTTTAAGGATTCTTCAGTGGTGGGGCAAAACTGCCAAAGGGCCCATTTTCCTTGCCCTCCCCACAGAATAGTATGGTCAGTATGCGATCGCCGAAGGTGTAAGGCGAGTGCCACAGGCACGAGTTAGCTAGGGTGATCTGGGGGCATGGCCCCGCAGGAATTTTTAAAATTTGGGTCTTTGAACTAGCATTTCCTGCATTCTGAGAACACATTTTTAAAAAAAGTCTCAGCTTCTCAAAACAAAGTTTTAATGTTGAAATTTTAAATTACACGCTAAACATTCAAACAAACATAAGTTTAAGTATGTTCACCAACAAATTTTGTTTTTAAACTTCTTTTCAACGTTAAACTCATTTACACAATACAGGTCCTAGAGCCCTGGCTTTGGGGCAATATTTCATTTTGTTTCTTCAGTGGTGGGGTAGAAGAAGGGGCCCAGTGGCGCAAATAACCCATCACTTTATGGTATTAAAAAATGCCTTGCATGTTCTTATATAAATGGTGCTTTTGTGCTTATCGCGAAATTAGGCTCAACAGGTTTTTAACAGGTTCTTATTTTCTAAAGAAAAAGCGACTCGTTTTCGGTTGGTGTAGATACAGTTATTTCATGTCTTCATACAGAATTTTGTTTATTATGTTATGACATGGCCAAGATTCTGGGTCATTTTCATTACTTTGAAGAATTTATTTTCTTTGATTTATAAATTTTTAGTTTCAAATCTCAGAGTGATAAAAATAAAGTAAGAACCTGTTTGAAATTTTAGCCTAAACAGTTTCTTGTATAAAGGGGGCACTGTGAAGGGGGTTTATATAAGCAATTTTAGCCTAACGGGTTCTTAAAGTCTTCGGTTCTTATATGTGGGGTTTTGCCAGGGCGCTTATATATCAAACGATATATAAGTGCCCTGGGTTTTGCTGTAGCGAAGCAGCGCTGAGTACACGCGCAAAAATTGAGAAAATCGACAACTTGTTCCAGGTTGACATCAACAAGCGTGAACAAGGTTGTGCGGCCCACTATGAACAGTATTTTCAACATGTTACAGCATTGTTCAACTATAACAACTTGGAACAACATGGTTGACAACCTGTTCATAGTTGGACGCACAACATTGTTCACGCCTGTCGATAATACTCGATATCAACTTGGAACAACCTGTGCGTTTTTAGCCGTGTACAGCTCTCTAGATTATAAGTTACAGTATTCAATGCTGTACTGACTACTGGGAAATCCAAAACAGGAAAATTTACGAATTTGTAAATGGGGACCCAACTTTAGGTGATGTGGAATTGCAATGGCAGAACTTTTCGGAGAACCTGGGTCCTTATCGAGAAACTGTTCGTACGTTGTTGATTTCTTTTTTTTTCTTTTTTTTTTTATTTCGTGCATTTTCAGATACAATTTTTGATACATTCCATCTTGAAAGATTGAATATTAGGCCATATAAAATTCGATATAAAATTTGAAAACATTAAATGAAAACCGGCAGAACTTATTGTCTCCCTTGTGCTTATCGTGCTTTTGAACAATCTAAACATATTTTGTGATAAATTTATTATAATATGCACTCGTTTCAGTTTCACGAATTAAGTCGCCTGTAGCCAAATATTAAAGAAAATCAATACTGCACAAAATCTCATTTATCCACTGCATGTACAAACCCCATTTTATCACTGCACAGATTAACCATCACTGCACTTCTGACCAGGGTCGCCCAGAGGGGGGGCAAAGGGGGCAAATTGCCCCGAGTTGCTGGGGGCCCCTGAAAAATTTTTGTTGGGCCCCAGCCTTTTTTGTGTGTTAAATATTTCCGCGTAAAGGACAAGATATCTGTTTTCTTGGGCTAAGTACCGAATTTTGGCATAAAAAAATGAGATAAAGTCCCTCAAAAGCAATTGCAACGTACTCGTCCGGATAAATTTTGTACTCCGGAAAAAATTTTTTACACCTAAAATGGTACACTGACTGAAATTTTTTTTTTGGGGGGGGAGGTTGTCCGGAAAAATTTTTTCCGGGAAAATTTTTTTAGATAGGGGCCCCTAAAAAAAAATTTGCCCCGGGCCCCCGCCAACCTCTGGGCGGCCCTGCTTCTGACACCAGATATGGAGGGTTTAATCACGGGTTTAATTCACTCGTAACAGTTTCCGGATTAGGAAATGATAGCTGACATGACCTTTAACAGTATTAAAGAACATCATATTACAACAATACTTTGAGGGAAACCCCGCAAATAATATTCAACGTGGAATAATTTTGTCGACTTATATTTCGCCGCAATGCCTTATATAATACAACAAATAGACCGAAACATTTTTGTAGACTTTTTTCAGACACCAAAATAGTCCACTACTTAAAAATGCAGAAAAATGACAGTGTTTACGGCAATTACCGGTAGTATCACTTGTATAAATATAATAGTCGCAATGTTCTGAAAATCTTAGAATATTTTGACTACTGTAAAATGATCGGAAATGTATTATTATAAGTTATACTTATAAGTAAGCATCATGTTGCCTTTTTTGGTTGAAAACTTTGTTATTTTACTGTTGAAACAAAAATATGATATGACAATATGTAGTTAAATTTTTGGCGAGACTTTATCAAGTGCCTTAAAATTTCCTTTTTCTAGAGTTCCGTTCCATTTGAATTATTCAAAATAACTGGAAAGTCTTTATTTTCATGCTAATATATATACTTAGAAAATAAATAAATAAAGAATTCTTTTTTTGTTTATTATTTCCAAAACGGCAAAAGTGAAATTCGATATCACAACTGGGCGAACGTAAAACTTAAAACCACAAATCCTCTATTAAGAACAATCATTAGCCTTGGATTCTTGGCGCAAGTCAACATTTTGCTGACAGTTTTGGCAGGAAATACGCTGTGAAAGATATGCTTACTGGTATATATTGCAGTATTGGACAAATTTCAAGTATCAAATGTGGAAGTGCTGACAACCGCATAATTGTATAAAGTTCAGTGTTTAACTTTTGTTGTTTATAAACTTATTGAAGAACTAAATGTCTCAGAGAAGATCTTTAAGGAAAATTGTGAAAGATTGGCGGGAAACTTTGAGTGAGGCAAATGGAATTAAACCAAATTTGGAACCATTTTGGAAGACTCAATTGGGCAAAGGAATTCGTCGTCTTACGTCAAGCGAACCTTCCTCGAAAGGTAACCAAGACGAAAATACAACTTGGTATGCAGGGGAAAACACGAATAACGAAAGGTATTAACTGCGTCGATCATTTCCTAAATGAACCGTTTGAAACCAAACGGTTTCGTTTACGAGCTAGCTATAGTTTAGTGGCCAATAACAACTGTGAAGCACTGCCCATTAACTGTCAAATCTGTCTCAATTTGCATGACAATTACATATGGCTTTTTTATTTGTAGTACATGCTAAGGATTACGTATGCAATATTATACTTCTGAATTGCATAGAGGCGTCTGCTTCAAAAGCAAAACAAACCTAACGTCATTTCTGATGTTTTAGCTGGGATTTAAGGATTTTAATAACATAAACGTTTATATATTTTATTGTGTGATCAGCGCTCAGGCTCGTGCAAAAATTGCTCCAAACAGCGGCAGTATTTTATTCGAACCATGGAAACTCCTGAAAGCCCGACACTTCGATTTTTATCATTGCAATATGATTGTGCAAATAGAATTATTAAAGAGAAAACTCCAGAAGAGAGGTAAATGCTCGTATTTTTGTTGCAAATTTAGACGTTCTTGCTAGGGTTTTCTCTTCCATAGTAGGTGAAAGGGTTATGTTTCAATCTTTCAAAATCGTATCTATGAGACCGTTGTAGTTAATCCTTTTCTTTGTTTAATTGGAGTTTGAATCCAAATAAAATGACGGTTTAAAACATTAAAAGATTTTGCCCGAAGTTCAAATCATGATTGTGTTTATTTTACAAAATGCCATTGTGGTATCAGTGACTTTGTATCAATATTATCATTGAATCATTTCAGAAAACATTCGTACCTCCCCACGGAGGAAATTGAACGTTAACCTTACCCCCTTCGGATGTCCTAATACACTTACTATTATCAGAAACCATTTTTCTCCCCTTTCCTTTCAGATGGCAGAAATTTCCTTTGTGGGGGGACTTAATTTAACAGGGTCTTTTCTTGAACAACCTTTTAAATAATACCTAGCTCTTTGAAACTTGCAATATGACTTCCAGCCAGACCATTTGAGCAGGCTGGAATAAGTCTGATCGATTCACTAGGATTTTTGTCTTGTTCATGGATCTTGGCAAGCCATTTGTTAGCCGCCCTCATTGGCCAGACAGGTGTATATGGCATGGCTAATAGCTTTACAAGTATCAATGCATGTTTTGCTCAATATTATTTGATTGGCAGCTATAGCTAGTTTGTAGGATTAATTGCAATGAGTAAAGCAAAGTTGGATTGAACCCACTGCACTGCATGTGGAAAGGGGGGGGGGGCAAACAATGTGGCCCCCTACCCACCTGGGACAGGTACAACCTGCATGTGAGATGCTGGTTAATTAATTTGCTGATTTTCATTTGAACATGCTAGCTGAGAATTCCTATAGCCATGAGCACCAGAATAACATACCGAAGCAGTTAAACAGGGGCATGCAGGGACAAACTATAAGTACAATACATGTTAATTGGTTGTGTCAAAATATGCACCTAAAAACCCACTAGAGTACCAGCACTCTCCCCTTGACGAGTAAAATCGTCGAGCATTAGACTGAGAGTAAAATAATAAGTAAGGGCGCATTTAAGGACACATTCCATTTTAATGGGTTAATAAGTTTTTAAATGCTATCTTGCTAATTCTTGTCCTCGCTTAGAAAGAGAATAGTTAACCATTGCGTGGCACACTCTCCACTTGAGGAGTAAAATTGTCTGGTGTTAATTAAGGCGGTTTTCTAGTCCTCGCACAAAGCTCCTCACAGCTCGCTGCGAGTTCTTGCATCTAATTAAAATGAACTGTTTACATTGTGATTGGATGAAAGTGCTCATGCATCACTCGCAGCGAGCTGCGAGGAGCTTCGTGCAAGGACTGGAAATCCACCTTTAGACAGAGTAAAATACTAAAGTAGGATGCATCAGGGTGCATTGCCACTTCAAGGGTTAAATAGAGAGCATTAATTGATATATTTCACTTTACTTGTATGCAATTGATCACCAGAATTGCACCGATTCTGATGATCCAATGCGTCACTGACCGTACCCACATACATTGTTTGGGTCTTCTTGCTTGACCCTTTAAGTGGCAATTTGCTCTATACTTTATTATTTTACTCTGTCTAATGCCAGACAATTTTACTCTGTCCAATGCAAGCCACAGTAGATGATTTTACTTGTCAAGGGGAGAGCGCTGCCACTCTGTGGGTTAAGGCCAGCTGGTTCTATAGCTAGCCAAGTTAAAAGTTTAATTAATATCTAATTTTAGAGCCTTGGATTTGGATGATGCATTCTTTGAAAAAATTACTGAGTTAGACTGGAAGAAACAAAGTCTTAAGCCGCAATCACAGGCAATTAAGGTATAACAGTAATTGTAGCTAGTTGTTGGTGGTGGTGTTGCGGATTGTGGTCATGTGACCGGTTTGTTGCATTGATCATGGTAGTGGTGGTATATAAGTGATGATTGTTGTAGTGGTTTTGTTGCAGATCGGTTTGTTGCATCATCACCCCCACCATCATCACCCCCACCATCATCACCCCCACCATCATCACCCTCACCATCATCATCACCCCCACCATCATCACCCCACCATCATCACCCCACCATGATCACCACCACCATGATCACCACCACCATGATCATCACCCCCACCATCATCACCCCCACCATCATCACCACCATCATCATCACCAATCATCATCATCACCACCATCATCATCATCATCACCACCATCATGACAATCATCATCATCACCAATCATCATGACCAATCATCATCATCACCACCATCATCATCACCACCATCATCATCACCAATCATCATCACCACCATCATCATCATCATCACCACCATCATCATGACAATCATCATACTACCACTTGGTGATGATGATTGTGATAGTGCCAGTAGTGATGGTAGCAAGTGATGGTTATGCTCTTTGTTCAGAACCTACCATCAACATCACATGAGGAAACAGAAGAATATTCAGGAGATGATGAAGAGGTGAAACAGGCAACAAAACCTTCTCCTCGAGATAAAAACAAAACACAATCTGACAAAGATAAGGTGCGTGTCAAGACGTAGATGGTTGATAGTCTTAGTTGACATATGTAGCTGCTGGGAATTGTGTATTCGAATTAATTTGCGTAGTTGTGTTTGAAAGACAATGTTGCTAACTGCTAAGGTTTTGGATCTACACACGCAAAAATGCACATGTTGTGACTTGTAGCAATCGGCTATTGCAACAACTTGTCAACAGCATGTGTTCGCACTGCTTGTTTCTAGCTTTTGACAAGTTGTCAACGGCTTGTTCGCAACTTGCTACAAGGTTGTTCAGTTCAACAGACTTGTTACAAATTGTTCTGAGAACATGTTATCGTCCTGCAATTCAACAATTTGTCAACATGTTGTGAGTGACAACCTTGTAGCAACTTGATAAGACAACAACATTGTTACAACTTGTTAACCAGCTTGCTATAAGCTTAGCCTGTTGCAAGCACATCTTGTTGACAAGTTGTGAGATTTTTACGTGTCTAGGTCTTCTAGTAGTCTCGTCAAGTACGCGGATATATGGTCGTTTCAACCTTTTACTGAAATTTAATGATATAATCAAAGGAGTCTATACTACTGTAGGTGTCACCGTTTTGATGTTTTCATCCATTCAATATTATCTATTTTTAAAAGGAATGTTATGGAAATCACTTCAAAATTTGCTTGAGTAGTATTTGCTTGAGTAGTATTACTAACAATTTGAAGCACTTTACCTGATATTGACTTGGCACCATGTATACTATGATAATTACATATGTAAGAGTACCCTTATAATATATTGCATATGTAAGAGTGCCTTTAGACAAGAAGATGTTCGATTTCCAATTAACTTAAAGATCAAGAAGCGGATTAAATGAGAGTGAATTTTGAGCAGCGTGATACATGTTTTTAATACGTGTGGTTTCAAACTTGTACGCGTTTTACCGAATCACTCACCGGTTTCCGATATTCAGTTTTTTTATAAGAAATACCTCACCTTAAATTTTAATAGACAACTTGCATGTTAGACTAATTTTTGATAAAGGCAAAAAAAGTAAATTCCTGTGAAGAATTCCTTGCGAAATGTTGTAAAATACGGAAAATATAGCCTTGCGGAGTTTGCATATTTTGTATATGCATATTTACGTGCGGAAATTGTTACCATTTTTGAGCCGAAAATGGTAACAATTTCCGCACGTAATACAAACATATACAAAATATGCAAACTTTGCAAGGCTATATTTTCCAAGCAAATTTTGCAATGTTACTAATTCCATTAATCATTATGTACTTTTTAGCTGTGGTGTTTGATTCCCTTCTCTTTATTTAGTTTAAAATTTAGTCTAACATGCAAGCACGTTGTCCATTGGGTGCCATAAATATTTGTTAATATATGATTATGTGTTTTGATTATTATACTAACTGACTCTTCTGGCTTCGTTTCTGTAGTGTTCAGAACTGTACGGTGAAGTTTTGTTTGTCACAGTCAATCAATTTGTGTCTGAACAACAGAGGAAAGATGCGCCATTACAAGGGGAAATTTATGTATATGGCCAAGAGGTCAGTCACAGTAATAACTAATAAGAATATCTTTGGCTCGTGGAAACTGTAAAAAAGATTAATAAAAACACCTAAGGACCCACAACAGCTTATTGAGACGAAATGCTTATAATGTTTCTAGGTATTTGGAATTTCTCAAGATAAACATCGAGAATTATTCTCCCGTGTGAAGGAACGCAAGGTAAAAAGTTGAATTCTCCTCCACAGACCCTCATGCCAGATTGAATCTGATTATGGAGTATTGGTTAATGGGACCGCTAAGAGGGGGGAGGCCCTCATAGAAACAAAGACCGTTAAAATTTCTTGACAGAAGATTGCTTAACCAAGAATATAAGTCCTAGTTTTGTCACTATCGAATAATACACAGGTAAAAATCTCACAACGTCTCAACAAGATGTGTTCGCAACTGGCTTGAATTATTTTATCAAGTTGCTACAAGGTTGTCACTCACAATTTGTTGAGAAATTGTTGCCTTGCAGGACGATAACAAGTTGTTGGAACAACTTGTTACGTCAAGTATGTTGAGCTCAACAACTTCGTAGGAGTGTAGTATGCATGTTGTCAATAGTCCTTGGCAACTTGTCAACAAGCTGGGAACAAGCGATGCGAACATACAGTATACTGTTGTTGACAGGTTGTTGAAACAGCATTGCTAGAAGTCTGCTGTAGGTTTGTTACAACTTGCGCGTTTTTACGTGTGTATGCAATAAAGTAGAAAACATTGTATAACACCGCTTCTCCCGTTTTACAGTTATGACGTCGTTAGGCCGCCCTGGGAAAAGTTTACTCCAGGGCCCGCGCAACCTCTTGGCGATCCTGCAAGTCATGTTAAGTAAACACTCAATTAGTAGTTTTTATTTTTCATAATTTTCTTCTTTATCTAACTTGCAGCCTCCGACATGCCATGTTGAAGTAAAAGGTGAGTAAAAATACTAAATAAAGTTTTGCTGACGCTAAATCTTTTTCCCTAATATATATACTGCATTTTATCCACAGTTGTTGAAGCCAAAGATATTGAAGCGAAGGATGCTAATGGTATGTTTTTCTGTCATGAGTAGAGTTTCTGTTTATTTGCGCAAATAATAATATGAAGCCCCATTTCTCCCCCCCCCCATGAACTCCCTCCCTGGTATTCCTACTCCTCCTCTTCTGCAACGTCGCTCCCACGTTCTCTCGTTTCCCTCCTGACTCTGCCTCCTTTTCCCCTCAAATTCTATTCTCTGAAAAAATGTTGATTGTGTAGTTCAATTAATCTCCAAAATCACCACGTCCAGACCTGCATTTTGTTCGGAGCAACGGCTCGGAGCTAGCATGGCCTCGGAGCATTTATGAGTCTTGCTAGGTAGAATCGGCAAGATAAAGACCGTTGCAAACATGAAGAAATGACACTTGAACCTATCAAATAAATTCAAATTTACGCCAGTCTAACCTTGTTCAGAGCACTTTTGAAGCTAATCATTGGCAGTTACTCCGCGCTCTTCTGCATGAGCAGGGACATAACAAACTCGTATCTCCTTTTCTCTTGCAGGCTTCAGTGATCCTTACTGCATGCTCGGTATTGTCACCGACAATTCATTTGATCGCAAACTGAAACGAAAGACGAGCAAAACAAAAACCGTAACACAACAACTAGACGAAGATCTTATTAAGGTCACTTCTGTCCAGAAGAAAACTCTGAATCCAACGTGGAACGAAATTATTACACTGTAAGAATTAATTTTTAGAAATTGGGAAATTTTCGTATCATTGAACAAGAAACTAAAGATACACTAACGGGGTGATATGCACTGCGACTGGTGGGAAGGAGAGAGGAAGCGGGAAGGGAGAACGGAAGGAGGGAGGAGGGAGAGAGAGAAAGGAAGACGGGAGGGGAAGGGGGAGGTAGGAATAAAGGAAGGGAAGGAGAGAGGGAGGAGGGACAGAAAGAAAGGAGGAAGGGAAGTGAGAGGTAGGTAGTGAGGGGAAAGGGAGAGAGGAATAATTGAAGGGGAGGAGGGAGGGAGGATGAAAGTAAGGGACGACTGGGTAGATAGACGGACGGAAGGGAGGATTGAAAGAAGAAAGGATTGAGAGATAAGTAGTACGGGTAGAAATTTTGACGGAAGGTAAACAGACAGCCGGAAGGACGGACGGACAAAAATATTGGCAGAAAGTAGACAGACAGCCAGAAGAATGGACGGACAAAAATATTGGCAGAAAGTAGACAGACAGCCGGAAGGACGGACGGACAAAGATATTGGCGGAAGGTAAAACAGACAGCCAGAAGGACGGACGGACAAAAATATTGGCAGAAAGTAGACAGCCAGCCAGCCAGCCAGAAGAATGGACGGACAAAAATATTGGCAGAAAGTAGACAGACAGCCGGAAGGACGGACGGACAAAGATGTTGGCGGAAGGTAAAACAGCCAGCCAGAAGGACGGACGGACAAAAATATTGGCAGAAAGTAGACAGACAGCCGGAAGGTCGAACGAATAGCAAAATGAATAATAATATTTTTATTTGTAGAAAAGTAAACGATGTTCTAACGGAGACGTTGCACTTGGACATGTGGGACGAAGATGAAGACTCTGCCTTTCTTGATAAAGATAACAGACTAACGCAGATCAGGGGTGTTGCTGGTGTTGGGCGGTAAGTAAAACGCGAACGTCGCTGCTGCGTTTCGTGCCTGAACTGAATTAATTTTATTCCATCTTTAGTTTCCTAAAACAAGTCGTTCAGTCAAGCAGGAAGTGTAGTAGTGGCTCGAGCATGGATGATTTTCTTGGATTTGTCGAGTTTCCCATTAAGGTAAAACCGCTTCTTTCATTTAATAAGTCACTCGTTGTTGTAAACTTTTGAGTTTTGATTTGGTTGTTTTTCACTTGTGAACAATATTTTTTCTCATTTGGCCAGGACATTCCTTCAAACGGTATAGACCAGTGGTTCCCCTTACAAGCTCGATCAGCCAAGTCGAAAACACATGGTGAATGTCATCTTGTCATAAGACTTGTTGGACGCCAGGTATAAAAGTTTATATATACTAAAACTGTCTGTACCAGTGTGGGTAGTACCAATATGAAAATGCTGTGCTGAGTGGTTATATTATACTACCTTAAAAAATAAGCAGAAACTCGACGTTTCGAGCGAAGGCGGCCCTTCGTCGAGAGTCTCGAAACTTCGAGTTTCTGCTTATTTTTTAAGGTAGTAATATAACCACTCAGCACAATAAAAGTTTATACCAGACCGCTTCACTCAAAATCGTTGAAGGTCTCATGATCTTGGCAAAATAACGTCGTTGACTTGAAGCTATCTACAGCATCAGATATAACAGTATGACAAATTAGGAATGGAATCGCTGTTTTAAAACTGGAATCGCCATTTGAAGCTACTCACCGTTTCAAAGTACAAGCCTTTCCTCCTTATTAACTCATTAACTCATTGAGCGCCGGTTTCCCTAGATGAGTAAAATCGTCTGATGTTAGACAGAGTAAAATAATAAAGCGGGGGCAGCATGGCGCAACTTAATGGGTTTCCTTGACATATGTGCTGATAGCTATTGTCCCTTGACAAGTAAAATCGATTGGCGTTAGTCAGAGTAAAATAATAAAGTAGGGCCCATTATGGAGCATTGCATCTTAATGGATTAAAACTTATAGTTATTCTTTTCAGAACAATAACAATGAAGATCCAGTAAAGTCCAGTACATCCAAACGGGACACATATGCTGCCTTACTTAAAGCCTTTGTCGATTATGATGGCGTTCATGCAGAGGTATAGCTACCAATGTTTAACATCTTTGTCTAGTTTTCTGGGATAAAATTAGTGATTTGGTGATTTGCTCATGCATTTTGCAACTATTATTTTTTTATTGTCAGGATTTCGATGATGTTTTTACAAGTGGAGAGTTGTCACGATTTGCTCGTTGGATCTTGCATCAATACGTTGTTCAAAATAACATCACTCTATTACAGAGAGCTGTTTGGTAAGTGAGAGTCATGGTTAACTCTGTCAGATCTTAAAGGTGACATGGCGGGAATACTTTTATGGTCTTATTTGGAAGAATCGTTAAAATTATAACGTACAGTAGAACCCCGCATATAAGAACCGATAATTTAAGAACCTTAATAACATTTTTATTAATTACATTCCCTTTAAATAAGAACTTGTTTAGGGTAGAATTTCAAAGCAGGTTCTTATTTTATCAAATAGAGTCAAAACTAAAAATTTGTAAATCGAATAAAATAAGCTCTTCCCAAAGTAATGAAAATGACCCAGAACCCTGGAAATGCCATTCAGATAAATAACATGTCCATGTGAACACAACAACAAATAATTGTATTTCTTCAGTGAAAATACTACATGACAATCTCAACTGCTAGTGACTGTAAGCAAGGTCTTCCAGCATCATGGACTGTTAGATCATTTGTGCATAATTTATATAAATTATATACCACAACTATTCCAAAACTGAGTCGCTTTTTTCTTAAGGAAATCAACCTATTTAAGAACCTGTTTAGCCCAATTTTCTGCACCAGGTACATAAGAACCTGTTTAGGCTAATTTGGAAAAATCTAGGTTCTTATATCGGCGAGGTTTTATTGTGTACTGTACCACCAACAGCTCAGAGCAAGGAAGTATGTAGGATTAAATTGATCTCACAAAATAATGTATGTGTGCCTGTCCATATAGTGAGTGGGAAGTGTACAGCGCATATCATCAGACAAAGCCTTTGAAATATTCGTTCTTGGAAGAACTGCTATCAAGTATTGCTTACAACTGGAAAACGGGCGGACTCAGTCTTGCTGATGTGAGTGTCTACTATCACTGTTCTCCCTAGAAGTCCAGTAAAGGTCTTCTTATTAGTCCAGTGTTACTACAAGAGGAACCTAAGTTAAACAATTAACTTTGTTTGTATTGGATAGCTTTATTATAGTTCTGATCTGTTCTCTCTAGAGATCTTATTGATCCAGTGTTACTACAGGAGGAAACCTAAACTAAACTTTATTTGTAGTATAGATAGCTTTATCAGTTGTAAACTGTTCTCTTTAGAGATCCAGTAAGAGCCATCCCTTATTGATCCAGAGTTACTTTAGGAGGAAACCTATAAACTAATGTAACTTTATTCATACTGGATATAGTTCTATCGGTTCTAAACTGTTCTCTCTGGAGATCCAGCAGGAGTCGTGCCTTATTGATAATACTACAGGAGGAAACCAAGCTCTATCACTTTTAGAATTGCTCTATCAGTTCTAAACTGGTCTCCCTAGACGTGCAGTAAGGATCGGCATCTCTTATTGATCCATGCAGTGTTAATAATACAGAGGGAAACCTAAACTAATTAACTAACTTTACTGTTCTCCTTAGTCTTAGAGGTCCAGTAAGGGTATAATCACTAAATTTTGTTTATTGTTTTATCTAATGACTTTCCAGGAAGAAACATTTCATCAATCATTGGATGCTTTCGTGGAATATTGTCTTCGTTTAATAAATAATCACAGATCTTTATATCCAGCCACTAAATCAGCAAAATTATCACGTTTGAAAAACATGTTGCAGTAAGTACCGTTTTTTATTCAAAAGTTTTTTGTTTGTGTCTGCCTCTATATGTCTACTCATATAATCTATTGAGCTTTATTTGGAAATCAATATTTCACACTCGGTTGAATGATAATTTATTAAAACCTTCACATTTTTCTTTAAGTGCCTCCACAATGCAATTAAACGCCGTTTCAGGGAGAGCATGTAGACCGGGGTCTCCCTAATATATAGAATTGTGACTTCACAAATTATTAATTAGTTGCCCCCCCCCCAAAAATAAAAACTTGGAAGAGCCACACCCCTGGAAATCCAGGAAAATCCTGAAGTTTTCATTTTAGTTTTGGAAACGTCTTGAAAAGTCCAGCCTAGAATTTCAAAGAAAAAATTAAAATGTTTTTAAAATTTAAATGCGATTGATAATAAAACTTACTTGTGCATAGCATATCGAACTTTTTCGATAGTGGTATTACTTGAGAGCAATATCATTAATGGTGAAAACCTTGGCGACCTACTGGCGAAATCACTTTTGCGATATTTCAAATACCACTGGAAAACTCCTGGTAAACGAAAGAAAAAAGTTCTCGAAAGTCCTAGATTTTTAAAATTATGTAGGTGTACGAAAGCTGTTAGCGTGGTCCACCTTACGTTACAGTGCAATGCAATTAGCTTTAAAATTTTTAATATTTCTTGTTTCAGTTGTATCAAGACAATACAAAATATGCCCAACTACTGCCCCAGTCGTAATAAGGACATTAGCGATGAAATTGAAAATACTGTTAAGGTACGGTGAAAATGAAGGTGTTGATTATATCTGAGCCCTAGTTAAATGAAGGATCAGCCTTCCTGTCGAAAGTCCCGTTTGCTATAGTTTTTAATCCTTGATCATCACGACCGGAAATTAGGCTGAACATTAGACAGGTTAAGATACCCCGGTTTCGGTGTACGGGTACGAGTAGCATGATTTTGGTTAGCAATATTTTCTTTGATGTCTGTCCCTTTACTCGTAATTAAGGTGCACATTTTTCGCATTATATCATTGTCTATTGCAAGAAAGCAGAAAAAGTATGATCGAATTACAGACATCAGTAAAACAAGATGACACTACTCGTACCC